TGTAACGACGTGAAGTCTAAGTGGTGGTTGTGTCCTTTACCCAGGAGTGTGCCACACACTGGCATATTGTTCCTGCTGGGAAGGATCCCACTGACCCTCCTCCCCCTCCTGCCCCCTCCCCGTCCCCCTCCCGGCTTCTTGGATTTAATTGAGTTTTTCTCTCCGGCAAGCACATTGTTGTTAATCTACAAATTTCAAATCAGTATTAACTGATTATTTTTTAATGTTACGTATTAAATATCCCATCTGGTCATACTAGACTCAGTTCTCTAGGAGCTTATCATTTTTGAAAAGCAAGTACGATTTGAAATTAAGAGTGAAGTTATATCGCTTCCATACCTTAGTTATTTCTGTCTTCTGATCCAGCTCATCATGTACTTCACCTGCCAAAACAAAAATTGAGAATTAAAGGTCAGAGAAATTGAAACTTGATTTAGTTTTAAGGTATATACTTAGTATTTATTAAAGTACCATCACTAGATGGCATTATGAATTCAAATATTGGAATGTTTTTAAGAGTGTCTTTGAACTGGAACCCCAGTAATTAATGCAGACTGATATTTATATTTGCCAAAGAGAAAACTAGAGTGCAAAGAGTCTTAAAACGAAATATGAAGCTAGCAATCATGTTCTTAATATTTTTAATTCAATTGTTACATTATCTATGATATTTTGAGAGGCTAATTTTTGTCTTCCACATTATCACCACTATTGGGAAATTCAAAATGTTATCCTAGCTGGACTAATTCTTCTCCTGCTAAAGCTTGATGAGTACATTTTTGTCTCTCTTGGTTCAGAACAGATATATCTGTGTAATGTCAAGGTCAAATAAGCATATAAACCTTAAATAATTTCAGTGCCTTCTGCAGGGAGAGGACATAACCACCACTGTGTAAAAATTTTAAAGTAACTTTTTTCATAGTATAAAGCCAACATGTGCTTTTTTAAGATATATTGGAAAACTCAGAACATTTATAAGCAGAAAATAAAAACACTAATGGTTCCATCATCCAGAGATGACTAGTATTTGTAAAGAGATTTTTTGATGTGTGTATGTGTATACATCATCATACTGTTCATGAATTTCTCATTCCTATTGTTTTTAAATCACATAGAGTGTGATAATTTCCTCTATCATAAATGTTCTTTATAACTCTTATTTAGGATGGCCATATAATAGCCCATGATTATAGACAAAACATAACTTACATTAGCTTTCTCCTATTATGGGGCATTTATGATTTTTCCAATTTTTGCTTGGCATATGAGGTTTAATATTATTTTCCAGGATCGTATTTCTTGTAATAAGAAAATATACTTGTATCTACCCTCGGCCAGACACTTAACATTATCACTAATCCTTATAACAAACTTGCAAGGTGGAGATTTGCATACCTGTTTTACGAATAAGGAAACTGAAGAAGAATTCAAAGTGACATGATTAATAGAAAACTAAAAAGCCAACATAACTTGTATTTTTTAAATACAAGTCTCTCTTTCTCACTAGACAATTCTATGACCACCAGCCACTAGATAAGGAGTTATTGTTGTTTCTCTAGGGCACAGTTCTGGATCTGAAATGCTGCACAGCTGCTGTGTGGGAGGAATCTCTGAGCTAGTAAACAAACCTGGCTAAGCACCTACAAATTAAATCTCAAAATCACATTATGTTCTAGTCATTATTCAACATGTAGTCACTGTAATAAAATGATGAAAAAAAAAGAAAAAAACACCACCCCCTCCCCCCAACACCCCATTTACAGGGCTAATATAAAGAAAAATTAGTCTAAGAAGGTAATAGCTCTGAGTCAGAAAACAGAAGATTTAAATAAATCAAAGTGGAATGTCAGATTCTCTCCCAAGACCTGCATCTATGATATAAATAAGCCCAGCTTACATAAAAACAAGAAAAAGTGATTCTAAAACATTCTGTAAGTGATATAGTAAGAATTTGTTTTATTGACATTATAAATACATGTAAGTTAAGGGCCTAAAGGGATTACTTAAATCTTTTGGTTACTTTCCTGGACTTTATGAGGCAAATTACAAGCTATCATGGGATTTGTAAATTTGGAGATTTGCAAAAATCTTGGGATAGCTACCCTGTGAAAGTCAAGGGCCTTCTCTAAAAGGCCCTTGAACTATAGGGAACACCCTATAGTTCTCCACCCAAAGGTTCATCTAAATTATGCAACATTCATCCAATAAATATTTAGTGAGTGTTTATTGTGTGCTAAGCACTATTAGATGCTGGTGATGCCCACATTTAAGGAGCAAGCAAGTAATGGTTTGGGAGATTATATTTTTAAAAAGTGGTGTTGCTTATTTACTTAAGGAATGTTAACAGCATGATTAAGAAAAATGAACTGTTTGTCTTACCATAGATTCTCCCATTAATGGAACATCTTTTAAAAGTCATGATATTTTGAGTAAGGGTCCCCGTTTTGTCAGAGAAAACATATTCAATCTGGCCCAGCTCCTCATTGAGCGTGGTCGTCCGAGCTTCAGCAGGTGTGGCTTTCCCAGAGTAATACATCTTCCGATCCCAGTTTATAAAATAACTGTGTCCCAGACGAATTACTTCCACACTGTTATCCATTAAAATGGAAAAAAGGAAACGCTCCATCAATTTCAAAACATACAAAGCTTTGCCAAAGTAACAAGTCTGCCAAAGTCTTCAGAGTTTAGAAGAAAATGTGGATGCTCTGTCCCTAGGTTCTAGTGATCTCAGAAGCATCTCAACAGAGTGTTCATAAATCTTTACAAGTCATTTCCTTGCAGCACCGTAAAACAATAGGCTAGCTTAGCATTAAGCTTTAGGGAATGTCCGTGGTTCTCTCCGTTATACAGGCCTCAATGGAGATTTCTTGTGTATCACATTAACGTGCATCTCCTCCTGTACCACCAAGGCACCTAATTTTTATTAAAGATTTTGGTCAGATGTCTGACCTAAAGAAATGTGTTGTTGAGGATTTTCTCTCCAATACATGGCTTCACTTTCACGAGGCCTCACTTTGCTGAAAGAGATAGAAAATATCTCCACAAAGTACTGACCAAACCATAGGAGTGTGTTGCCATTACCAGGAAAAGTGTTGTGTCATGTTCTAGTAATTGTTATGACTCTCAGCTGCAGACGGAAGGTTTCTGTGGCCAATGGAATGAACTTATTCGTGTTCAATGTCATACATGATGCTTTTTTATTTCTAAAAAGATAACAGTGTAAACTTCTACCATCAGATTACTGAGAATTCTCTGTTACCATATGCCAATTCAAATGGTGCCTCATTACTGTTTACTGCATTTCTTTTCTTATCAGTGAGTTGAACATTTTTGCCAAATGTTACTGACCCATTGTATTTCTTTTTAGAATTATCTAATTGTGTCTACCTATTTTATTTTTCCTATTCTATTTGTCAAAAAAA